ACTGGATGGATCTCTGGATGGATTACTGGATGGATCTCTGGATGGATCTCTGGATGGATTACTGGATGGATTACTGGATGGATCTCTGGATGGATGACTGGATGGATGACTGGATGGATGACTGGATGGATCTAGGGATGGAGTACTGGATGGATCTCTGGATGGATTATAGGGATGGAGTACTGGATGGATTACTGGATGGATTACTGGATGAATTAGAGAAACATCAATGTATAGAAATATATCAGCCTTTAGGCTGCCTGGACAAACACTCTAGCCATCGATTATAGGGATGGATTACTGGATGGATCTCTGGATGGATTACTAGATGGATTATTGTGATGCATTATTAGATGGATTATTGTGATGGATTACTGGATGGATAACTGGATGGATTACTGGATGGATCTCTGGATGGATTACTGGATGGATCTCTGGATGGATCTCTGGATGGAGTACTGGATGGATTACTGGATGAATTACTGGATGGATTATAGGGATGGATTATAAGGATGGATTACTGGATGGATTACTGGATGAATTACTGGATGGATTATAGGGATGGATTATAAGGATGGATTACTTACAATCTAACATCTCAGACTGCTGCCTACTCCTACAGCAGGTATGCGAGTTCAGTGTGTTAGATGAACGGTGACAATCTAAGATCTCAAACTGTCACATACTCCTACACAATAACCTTACATAATAGCAGCAATACAGTGTATTAATGATAGGTTGTTGTTGTTGTTGTTGTTGTTGTTGTTGTTGTTGTTGTTGTTGTTGTTGTTGTTGTTGTTGGTGTTGTTGTTGATGAGGATGATGATGGACCCTGACATTATCGCGTGTCTGTGTGAATAATTGCAGCATGAAGTGAAGATGAAGACGATGGTAGAATCGATAAAGGACGTGGAAGTAAAGAAGAGGCAGCTGGAGGAAGCTGTGGACAGACTTAACGAGGAGTGTGTCAAGTTAAAGGCCCAAGGTAGCAACCAGATGAATGTGTATCTATGTAGCATCCAGTAATCTAACCCTATAATACATCACAATAATCCATCTAATAATGCTTCCAATAATCCATCCTAAGCTGAAGACGGAGGTGAAGACACTCGTACACCGCTGCCAGCAGCTGGAAGGATGCCAAGCTGACAGCAACCGTAAGATCGAGGAGACAGACCACCAGCTCTCAGACTGCCGCCTACTCTTACAGCAGGTACGTGTGATCACTGTGTTAGATGAACGGTGCTAACGTAG